AAGTTTATTCAAAGTTGTGCATTTTTAAAAGAAAAATCGCCCCCCACTGGCCCTTGACAATACCATCACCAGAATGCGTCGCCAATTAATTCAATAATTAATTCAATTAATTCATAATAACTAAGACTTATCTCGGCCAAATTCTAATATAGCAGAACTAGGTATAGTGGATGGTCCGCAGGAACTCTAAATTTTACTTCACATTGAGAGCATTTGCATAGCTGTCAGTTCCCCAAAGCAATGGTATATTTATTCTGAACGAATAAAAAAGAGAGATTGCAGCAGTCAGCTGAAACCATGGAATTCATCAATTGCCAAGAAGACACTAGTCACTGCTGACGCGATGACTTCGATGAGTAATTCCATGTGTTTGTGTTCTACAATCAGGGGGATTCAGGAGATTTCTACGAAGGGTGCGGATCCTCCAATATTTGTTTTGGGTGTGAAAGCTCAAGGAGCTGTACGACGACTGATGCTGGCTGCATCAAAACCAGGTCGTGCTCCATGATGGCCTCATTCCAGAGCTCTCAAGGAGGCCTTTCCGTCCGTCTACAAGGCAAGAGCCCCTCGGATCTCGGCTATGTTGCGCTTGCATTCTCCACTGATTCTCGAATGGTTCGTGATTCACCTTCATTACCATCAAAACACTTCATTCGTGAAATAAAAAAATTAATATATTAATTATTTTGCTTTTCCTGACTGCGATTTCGACTTCAGCCACAAATGTAAATACCAAAAGGACTGCCAAAAACGTAAACAATGTTTTTCGTATAACAGAGTCTCTCCCATGGCTATGGTTGCGGGATTAGAGGCTATTTTGATTACATGGCCATTGAGTTACATGGGAAGTGTATGGCAATGGAGAAGGAAAGTTAGAAGGTGTTACAAGAGGAAAGTTAAGTTGAGATTTAGGTATCGGGACGTATCCTTGGGCCGAGAGCCCTCAGCCCTTGCTGTCTGATCTCACCTCGTAAGTGCTGGTCAAATCTAAAACATGCTATTTGAAGAGGCTTCGCAGGAGTCACGAGGCTCATCAGATTCACGTCATGCTGGAAACATAAATGTGGCAGAAGGGAAAATCACGAAAAATAGCCTCTTCCTGAGTAAACCGAGTAGAATTTAAAAAAAATAGAATGCCGAATTTCAGGACGTAGGACGTGGAATTTTTATTATTATTGTGACTGAAGCTTTGTGATTCGGCTTTGTAGGCTGCATATCTCCCTATTTATTGTCAACTTGACTTGCTTGTTCACAGGGTGGAGACCCAGTGATTGGATGCATCAATCAAGGAGGTTCAGTTAGAATATCTCGATCATACAATCCAACAGGGCAGAAGTCAAACATCCAGCTTCCAACAGTGAGTATCCAACATATCTCTTCTCGCAATTAAGCGGAGCCCTTTTTCTTCTTTCGTAAATATGATCCATCATATGTTTGTCTATATTGCCTAACACTCAGCTCCAATCAATCCAAACAGATCATACTTGGTTCCATTCTCCCTTGTAGGTAGTGTGTTAGAGTAGTATGACTCCTCATCCAATTCACAGGTACCGAACCCCCGGAGGAAAATGGGTGTATGCCCCCCCCCCCTCCTCCTCACAAGATTGGCCAAAGTACTGTACATACAGGAAATAGAGATTTTTTCCTGACTATTGCTAAAATCTTTACCTATTCAGTGGGACTGTCACGTTTGCGACAATAACGTTTTAATATCCAGTCATGGAAGACAGGATTTATCAAAGGATGCGTAATTCTTAGATAAATTTATAAGGGTTTTGTAGAATGCATGAAATTTACCAAAACATCCGATTCCATGTCAATAATTGGTGAGTAACTGGTCAAATTGGATTGTACGATACAGTATAATAAGAATCGGGCCGTGGTCTCTGAGTTTTTTGCATGCTTGCGGAAAAAAATGTTAATACCTCATGCGGCGTAACTTTTGTTTTTCTTACAATTATAGAATGAGCAATCGGTGGGTCTGAAAGACGTGAATGGAAACTACGTGGATGGAATAATTTCCTGCAGTTTCCAATTGGCACCAGAGATATCTGCTAACGGTCAAACTTTCAACCTCGCCACTACTGCTTATTTCCCCCTTCTGGCATTGGGGTCGGCCACCTCCACAGGTATTTCTCTTCTTCACCTTGCATTCTCTCACAAGATGAACCCTATTTGATACAATGGTGAAACGCAACATGCGTATTTCGTGGCTGTTTGGAATTTTTTGTGGGTACTTGAATTTCAGAAATTGAATTAATTTTACTGGAAATCTGAAGACATTTAAAAAATCGTTTAAATGTTAAAAAAAGAGGTTCCCATCCTTTTCCTCAGTGTGACCCCATTCAGACAGAAACGAATACTTTGGACCCCAACATCATGCACAGACAAGATCAACATTCGCTTGTCGAAAACATGGGAGAATGTAACGAATGTTTATATATCTCCCTGCGCATAGCACGATAATAAAAGTCACCCTACCAGGCGGCTTCGCGGCCCGAAGATTGGGAACCGCTTTAATCAAAAGGTACGCAATAGAGGGGTGGTCCATAGATTAAGAGGACTAAATGGTTTTACAAGTCATAAGAATTACCATTGAGTCACTGTAGTTGTACACTAGAGTCAAAAGCCTAAATGCATCTGTCACTGTCCTGTAAGGACCCTTAAGTGGGGTATTACTATTAGGTTGAGGCATAAGTTTTGACCCTGTATGACCTATGCTTAAAAATTTGACTCATTTTCTGATGTAAAATTCTGGCAGCCATTGCGTTTTGTACTTGGTTGCCGGTTGTCAGCCGAGTCTTTTGATACCTCACTTGCCACAAACCGTTTATTGTATCGCTCCATTTTTCAGCACAATGATTGAGAAAAATGTTTACTTCCGCGCCCTCTTACTTTACGCGTACCACCGCAAGCTGACAGCGACCGCTGCGTACCGAGAATTGCTGGAAACGTAAGGTGAAATTGCTCCAAGCCTTTCAACATGCAAGCGATGGTTCAAGAAATTCGCCTCTGGGAGCGACGACATTGATGACAAACCCCCTCTGGACGACCCGCTGAGCTGAAGAACGAAGATCTGCAGCAGCTGCTCGATGAAGACCCGGGCCAATCTTCACGTCAACTCGGACAGCAGCTCGGATGCGACCACAAAACCGTCATCAGACATCTCCACAACCTCGGCAAGGTGCGCAAACGAAGTATTTGGGTACCCCACGAACTCAACGAAGAAAACAAGGCTCAACGGCTGACAATTTGTGCTTCACTTCTGTCGCGCAAAAACAGCGAGTCGTTTTTGGGCCGGATCATTACGGGGGATGAGAAGTGGGTCAGCTACGACAACGTCACTCGCAAATGGCAGTGGTTGGACGCGGACCAGGCAGTCACTTTGACGCCGAAAGCTGAGCTGCACCCGAAGCGCCACCTCGTGTGCATTTGGTGGGACCGGCACGGTGTGATCCATTTTGAGCTGCTCCAAAAGAACCAGACAATCACGGCGGACCTCTACTCCAACCAGTCTCAACGCCTTTGCGAAGAATTGCGCAGGAAACGTCCAACACTGATCAACCGAAAGGGCGTCATTCTCCAGCACGACAACGCTCGACCACATGTCGCCAAGGCGACCAAGGAAAAGATGAAGGAGCTCGGATGGGAAACGCTGCCTCATCCACCGTACTCTCCGGACATAGCGCCATCGGATTACCACCTGTTCCGGTCTCTACAACACCACCTCGCCGACAGCTGCCACAAAAACTACAACCTTCGTCAAGACCCGGCCACGTTCTTCGAGTCTAAGCCAGCCGAGTTCTACAAGCGAGGCATCGACCAACTGCCCGAGCGCTGGGCGAAGGTTATTGAACACAATGGTCAATTTTATTGATTGAGATTGTTGTTATTTGTTGGAAATAAATAAAAGGTTGCTTTGCCTAAGAGGGTCAGAACTTGTGCCTCAACCTAATAGCACAGCTTTTGAGGCAATGCCACTAGAAAGCGTGATTTTTTTTTTTTGGGGGGGGGGGGGAGTTCATATCGCTGAGACTGTTTCGAAGCAATCGCAAGCAGCATTTCAGAGTCCCTTTATAAATATTTGGATCGTGATTTGCAGGCCAGTTGCAGTACCACTCCATGAGAGCATCAACGACAGGCGCCTTTGAGTTCCTTGAGCAGGTCTGAAACGAGAACGTAATCAAAAAGTTTAATTTAATTAATGTATTCTTTTGAGAACGATGTTCCTACTAATACTCTTCCAGGAAGATCCATATGATGGCTGTGGGAACGAGAAGATATGTATCGGATGTGTAGGAAATCAATGCGTGGAATCCAAAGGATGTCTTCAAGACAAAACTTGCGACATGTTTCTGTCCTTCATTCCTGCAAAGCCATCCGAGACTTTCATCACAATCACCATCATGAGACAGGGAGCTGGAGTGTCCTCCTATGTTGCAATGGGATTCTCGAAGGACGTGTTCATGGTATGCATTAATATCGATTTCATAGCTTATGTTCGCAGGAAATACGGCATTTTCCGTTATAAAACGTTCTCCCTGTGTGAAGAGTAGTTAAGTGAAGGTGTGATATTGCTTCCTTAAAGGATAAGGATAAGGGTAAATAAAGCCTTCTATTTCATCAGCATGACTTTCGTCGAAAAAGATCTTCGCCAGGACGAATCTTCTGGAGGAAAGGCAGGAAGTGTGTAGTTCAGACTATATCCATGTATCTTGAGTGCCACTTTTCATTAAGAATGGCAATCCAGGTATTAGGGAATGGGCGGATCTTTGGACATCCACAAAGAGTGACAACTTCGGCCTCCAGGGCATGACAAATGACCTTGTAGAAGGCCTATCATTGTCTCTCCCCCCCCCCCGGCGTCGGATATATCACAAAGAGGAGTGTGTCAGTGCTACCATAATTTCTTTTCATCAAGAAGCAAAGTAATATGGCATAGAGTGGCACGCAACAAATCATTTAAACTTAAAAAGCATACCTTAGACAAACGTATCACCCGGCATAAGACCTGCCATTCCATTACTCACTAGTCCTACTTACTTACTTCCACTAGTCACTTTCTGTATTTTTTCTCTAGCGCTTTTGCTCCTGCTTGGATACGGTGATTGCGCATTCCTACAATCAGTCGTTTGCAGAATTTTTACGCGTGCTGTCTGTGCCTAGTTAGACTAGGTGAAGCATCAGAATCGTCAGTATCAAAATCTTTCTTGAATATATCTTGGCAGGATAGAACACGAACTTTCCCATGGGCGAAAAAATCCCGAACTTTCATGGTCTTGAAATTGAAGCAGGAGCAGTTACGACTGCGTAAAATCTTCGTTTTTGCTATTTGCGGCGAATTTTCAAGAAAATATGCACTTATCTACTCCGTAAGACCACTGCTATTAGGAATACGAGTATAGTATTGAATGGGATGGTTACCAATTTCCGCATAAGGGAAAATATATGACTACATATGTCAAATATTGTAATCTGATTTTTTGTAGATTGTATAACCCATGAATTCAGTGAATAAGCACAATTCGATTAGCCCATAGCTTGCTCCCAAATGGGATGCTTGACTGAATGACGAAGCTTTGTGGTTAACATCATATCTGCTGAGAAATTTATTTTTCATTTCTGTTTTTAATATCTTGCAAGTATTGATATGGACAGATGAATAATTTAAAGCCCAGGATCCACTTGAACGACTATCCATTCATCCTTCGATTATATTATAATCTTGATTGTAGTTAGGGATAATCTGGGAACCCTTTCTACAGATGCTTTAGGAAGAAAAAGGTTGGTTTACGAATCTCCACGTCGCGAAATAAATGGACTGCATTTTCAAGTGAAAATAATGCAAGATTTTGCTTGTTTTCTTTCTTAGGGACGAGATCATGTAGTGGAATGCGTGACAGATTCTGGAATTTTGGACTTATCCCGGTCCTACAACCCCGCATACGGCAAAAATTCCCGTCTGCCTGAAGTGAGTACTTCCTTCTTTAAACTCATGACACCTCGTAATGAGTGTGTAATGAGTGAAACTTTCTCATTTTTGACAACTGTAACGGGTCGCCTGTGATGGACCCAATATGGTTATAACCCTGACCGTTTCATCTGATCCAATACTGCAGAGATAATTACAAGATGTCAATTATGTCTGTAGAACTCCCTTGACGAGTATTTGTTGGTTATTTGTTTTTCCATCAAAATGAAACGAAACTGAAATTATTTTTTTAAGTCTTCCAGACTGACAAGTACTAGTACTTGTTTCATTGTCAAAGTGGTCACTTTCCCCCGGAAAACGATAATCAAATTTAGATTATATGAGTCCAGGATGGATCGTCCCCAAGGGACAAGACTTTGCTGATGAAATTGTGAAACTTCAGTCCCAATATTGATTTACTGATTCTAGACCCTTGAAAACGTTTGGAGGAGGAGGGAAGGAATATTCCTAAATTTTGCATCTGTGCTTTTGCAGGAGGAACGGAGACAAGGAATTGCTGTAAAGTCGAGTTCGTTTAGCAATGGTGTTTTGACATGCACATTTACGCACGACTTGGTGACATCTTCGACCCTCGGTGGGAAGTTGGATTTAGCCTATGCCAACCTCTACCTGCTCCTCGCCGATGGGAAAACTACCTCTTCCAGTAAGTCCAGCCTTCTCGATAACCCATTGATCTTCTATTTCTGGTAAGGAATACGTCTGAGAAAAATTCATACAGATAAAAAGCATCGTTATGGGATTGATTGACCATAGAGCTGTCAGAAAACCAAATAAATTTCCTATATTAAAGAGGTCTGTTACGTCTTTGCACTTGGACGTACAGGATTATTCAAAACCCTTGGAAGCATAGCGTTCATTCCATACATTGTATTTATTGCGTACATTCACAATGCGTGTTCAATTTTTGATCCTCTCCCCTCGATACATTTGCGCAGTCGCTTCACCCGTTATGCTGGACACTTCCTTGAGGGTCAGGTGTGATTTGAAGACAAACGTGCTGTATGCGCTCTTTCAAGTAGTTAATGTCCCCAAATGTTGACGAAGTACGCTTGGACCTTAAGATGGCCCCAGAGAGAAAAAGTAAGGAGTGTCAGGTCCGGGTAACGTTGGGGTCATTCCACTACTCACCGTCGACTAATCCAGCAACTGGAAACTGCGCTTTACTCAGAGCCATAGAAATTGCTTCAATGCCTGGAAAAAGGCCACAATCTGTTAACTTCCTATGGTTTCAGACTTTCGTATAACCCTGTAGTGTTGTCAGTGGAAGTCGAATAATATATACCCAGGGTTTCATCATTCTGGATTGGGTATTCTGGAAACAAACTCTACGGTTTGATGATTTCCTTGGCCTTATTGCAAATGTACTCCTATTTCTGACATTACTTTTTTTTCTCCCATCAATTTAAACGATTTTAACGTTTGAATATTCCTGGACATTTATGCAGGTAACGAGACTGAACTTCAGCTGCACACAAACCGAGGAAGTTCCCCATCCCCGTATGCTTTCGTGTATTCATCGCTTCCAAGTGTTACAGCTTCACCTGCTCGCATCTCGACACCTACGACAATGGTGAATCTCTTCCTCAGACATTTTTTTTTCATTCTTCCCTAGAAAAGCGATGTAGTCCTTGGCTGATTTCAGCACTCCAGACCAGTCGCAGTTCAGTTCCAGTTTTAGTTCAGTCGTTGTTCCGGTTGGGATTTCTTTGTGATAGAAGTCGACAAGAGCACAGTGGAACTTCAGTCAGACCAAAGTCTAAACTGAAACTAAAACCGAACTGCAGTTAAATTGCCATTTTGAAGTCAACCCATGTATAAATCTCAATTTGGGTGATATGAGAAAGCAAACACACGCAGAATAATGGAAGAGATTGGGACCAAGAAAATCCTAGTTATACTCGTATCTCAGATGAGTTTAGTAAAACCAATCTAATGCAGTAACCCTGTCTATTTCTCCCTCATTCTCTAGAATTCTTTGCGCCAGTCATTAACTACTTGATTTCAATGCTCGTATATTCCACGTAAGGGAGAAAAAGAAATTTATTGGTGTTCATGCAAAAGTTCTTCGTAGCACAATTTAAATTTAATGAGCGAGTATCTCGCAGTTCCACGTATCTCGCCCATCATGCTTGCCAGGGGAAAGGGTGATTATCCTTCAAATCGTAGTATAGCGATGTAAAAAAAAAAGTCTACGTCACTTTCACCGAAATCGTTGCTTTCCAATACAACGGCGATCAGCGTTCTTCATGAATGTTTTTTCTTTTTCATTTCAGTATATCATTAATACCAACTGATGGGAAGTAATTAACTGTTTTGTTACCCACCTTGCCGCACCTGCAGAGTCGGACCGTCAAATAATTTTCTCTCGATGAAGGAGTCATCAACCTGAAGTTTTTAGTTGCTTCATAATTGGGCGCTGTTGGTAATAGGTTAATCCTGTTCAGGTATTCAGATGCCATAAAATAAAGAAGCTCTTCCCCTCCATTGCCTTAAACCCTAGAAGCTTAAATTATGCATACCGATTTAATCACGCGCAAATCGCTATATTTCACTGGCGCTTTCACCGATTTTGAAGACCTTGAAATCGCTGATCAGGGCTGAATTTCACTCATGAAACGCGAGATATTACATAATTTTCTGTAGAGTCGACCAAAAAAGGTGTTTGCTCGTTTTGCTCCGCTGTCTAGTTTTGTCTCTCTAGTAGTGAAGACCTTATAGCTGCGAAAATTCAACTTTATTTGCAAATGAGAGGGATAAACCTATCCCTTCACGTATCCCCAAAAGGCCTGTCATAGGAGACAAATCGTGTGCCATCACTCGGTTCCTTGAAGAAATGTTTTGTTTTCCTCTGGGGGATTCCAATAGTTTCCTGTTTCTGCACAATGGCAGGTGTCTCAGATTCTGCGAAGCAGGCTTCGTCACCACGAAAGATAATTCACTTTCGCTTGCTATTTCGCCCATTGCCATAAGGGGCACGTAATACGACTTGACGGGTAACTACGGAGTGGCCCATAATACTTGACCCCCCTGCAGTACAACTGAATAAGTAGCGTTAGCACAATATTTGCACTATAGATTTGGTGGTTGTTATAACACTTTCGATCCGGAGGGTAGGTATGTCACTGATATATTTTTGAGGTCATAACTTCGGAACACAAAATGATGGAGACTTGCTTTTCGTTGGAAATTAAAGCATAAGTTCTCTATTTTATTGTGGAAATTTATTTCAAAGCGTCCACCGTTTTACTATTACGTCCACCGCCGTCCGAAGGTAATAGGGCTGGACGTACATTAACGTCCATCGGAGCGAAAGTGTTAAACGAGAACGAACCTCTATGTGTTAAACATATCGTACTATTCAATTAACTGATTGCTAGCGGTGATAGTGCAACTTTTCTTCCAAAGAAACGGGCTGCTGAGTTTGGGAGAACATCCCCGCTTCCGTTCTCGACTTAGCTGCAATGAGAAGAATAAAATTGCATCTTTGTTGCTGGCAATCCATCGAGGAATAGCCATGCAATAAGGCTCATTCTGATTTAAAACATCAGTCATGATCAATCAATTTGTAATGATGAATGCGATGAAAGTGCAATAAAAGCAATCGTTTCGTAGCAATACTTTTGAAAACTGTGACGTCGAGCAGACAGATGTAGAGTTATACTACGGGGCGGGACGGTGAAAAGTATTGTGGGCCACCCTGTGCTTAGTTATTCCCTGCGGGTATAAAGGTTTGACACTGTTCCAAATGTGGTAAAGCTTTCAAGGGTTTTCGTCGAGACCAACCATAGTACGCAACATGAAAGAGTTTTGCTCTCTCCCACCACTTCAAATGAAAGTAAATAGTAGAAAAGTATTAATACATATACTAGTATATATATGAGACGCCGCGTAGAATCTATAATTATTATATTTATAGATGAATTCGGGGTCCGGATCCGTGAACGACGTTTATAGTGCGTGTGGCCATACCATTGGGTGCTTCGGATGTAAGGGCCCCACGTGCGATTCCAAGTGTTTGTCTACCCGGGATTGCAACGGTCTCGTTGCATTCCTAGGATCTCCAGACCGGAAAGAAGTCTCATTCACCCTTGTTGGCCAAATCTCTCAAAACATGGCATACGTCTCTGTCGGCATCTCTACTGATAGCAAAATGGTACCCACTAAATGCCCATTTCGAAGGCTTCCCAATTGGTAATTGAGATGAGTCACCCCTTGGATTGAAATCGCCTTTCTTTTCAGGGAGGAGATGGAGTGGTGGAGTGCGTTAATGAGGGTGGAAAAGTCAACATATACAGGTCCTTCAATGTCAATGGAAGTAAAAATAACAAGAGACTTCCTCAGGTGAGTTTTCTCTCTTTCATTGCTTTGAGGGCCGAAGCGGAGATGCTTGTGAAATAGAGATGATATTTCGTATTCTGGACGTCTAGGTTGAGCAAAATGTGGGGATCTCAGGGAAATCTGGTGTCTTCGAAGATGGAGCGATCAAGTGCAATTTTATTCTTCCGGCTGACTTTTCCGTCCAAGGCATGAATTTCCACTTGGGAAACTCCACCTATCATGTTCTGGTCGCCGTTGGCACAGCCATAAGAGGTATGAAGATAAATCTTCTCAATTTTCAAAAGAATTAACTTTACTTTAAAACAGCTGGGACATTGGCCTCCATGAAACCATTCCGAAAAAGGTTTGGCCGATGGAGCTGTTTGATGGAAAGTTTTTGCACATTTCAAGAGTGTAAGTTAGATTTCCAACCTCCGGTAGGGGGACAGGATTACGGACATTCTCTCGCATACACGAGGAAAGTTTCAAAGAAAACCTACTCTGAAAGTTGTCCACATCTCATTAGGCCACACATGATCTACTTCTGATAGGTTTCCTGTTAATTAGGCTGATATAACAGAGAGGCCTCCAGCAAGATGGAACTGCAAACGCATTCGCATCTAACCATCGAGACTCCATTCTTGAATGTGTTACTCAGGTGGTAAAACCTTTCTTTGAATTGTGCATACACACAACATGTGAACAGCGAGAAAACAGTAAAAACGGTGGAGTCACTAGTCCAAAAACTACCCTCATTGCCTAGTTACATTACTATCCTAGTATATTCATCTAACCACCCGAATCCGGTAATTTTACGATGGAAATACACATATGATATCCCCATAGTAGCTTTACCGCATTTGGATGATTAGATGACCATCCTAGGATGATAAAGTAATGAGGGTGATTTTTGGACTTGTAACTTTACCTTTTTTCCCTTCGTTATCTTACCTTCAAAGGTTGTCTGTAAATCACCGGAATGTCAAATCCTCGTCAATGAACCAGATCAGATCTGTAACTCACGGTCGATTTCTGCTTGCAGATAATGTGGGCTTCCACGATACCGCATTCGGAGCATCAGGGGAAGCAGTGGATCTCTTCGATTTTGTCATACCAGAGGGCCCAAGTAATAAGCTGATGTACGTTCATGGTATCTGCATGACTTTGGCCTGGATCTTCTTCGCCTCCAGTGGCATCATCACTGCGAGATACTTAAAGAAGACCTGGGTCGGCCAGCAGGCCTGCAAGAAAGATGTTTGGTTCACGGTGAGATCATTTGCCCCTTCACAATCTTGATTCTATCATAGAAGTTCCATATTGACGAAGTCGTTCTGGTCATGCCCTCAGATTCACCGGAGCTTCATGATGATGGCATGGGCGTTAACTATCATCGGTTTCTTCTGCATCCTTGCTTACGAAAACTGGGAATTCCACAATGAGCCCCATTACTTAGTGGGAATCGTGGCGGTGGCGTTGTGTTTCATCCAACCCTTCATGGCAGCTGTGAGGCCCCATCCTGGCGACACTTTAAGGCCCATCTTTAACTGGGCTCATTGGGGAGTTGGCACCGCTGCTCATATCCTCGCAGGTGAACATCATACATCACGCTCTAAGTGTAGCAATATCCTTTTGTTTCCTTCGTACGCGAAGTGGCCTCAGACAGGAGCATTGCTGACAGTCCTTTGCGTGAATCTCAAAGCTCAAAATAGAGATATCATTAATAATCCTACATTTGCTCAAAAATAATGAACTTCCAAGCAACTTCCTTTGAATAAAAAATTCCTTGCGGAACTAATTATGGAGCACCTAGACTTCAATGTAAAAAAATATTCAAGCTTTAATTTTCATCACCTTATGATGTCGAACAAGATGATACAGGTAATAAAAAAATAGTTTGCTGAATATAAATGTGATTGGCTTCCTCTATAACAACTGTTAGTCATTGAGTTCCTTTTTTTGTCCCAGTGGCGAACATATTTTTGTCATTCGACCTGGATTCCATCGCATTCCCCATACAAGCCTACGGCATCATGGGGGTCTTCGTCGCGATATACGTACTTGCTCATGTCATCCTTCAGGTCAGGCATTCATGTTTATTCATCGCTTAAACTGAGTATAATATGCTTCTCCTTCTCTGATATAAATTTTCTTCACCAGGCCCAGGTATCCTTTGTATTGGACAACAAAGTGGAATCTGTCATGCTGACGAACAATGGTGGAACAAAGGCAGACGCAAAGGTGAGTCGTGTTTCTTTAAACTAAGCCATATATGCTCCCTTTCTTCTGTTTCTGTATTGAGCTATAGGGCGACATGCATCAGATTCGTTTAACTTTAAACTGATTCGTTTTTATAATGGGCGTCTATGGGAATAAGTTTATCTCGGTTAAACCGATTCTCATAGTGTCTCATCGTGAGATCAGATTAGTTTAGCTTAAACGGATTTGGTGCACGTCACCCATAGTCTTATACTGTAAAGAACTAAAAAAAAGGACGAGTATGAAGCATGAACAACTTTTCCCTCTATTCTAGGGATCGGTGCTTCGGCAGATGACTTTCACATTATTCCTCGTTGCATCTGGAATCATCGCAGTTCTGATATCCATGCTGATCGTGGGAAAGGTGGAGCTTTAAGATGAAGGGTGAAAATCCATCATCATGAATATGACCAAATGAAGAGGAAGAATCTCTCTACCCTCATTTTATATGAAAGTGAGCAGCATCAGATTAGGGATATGGGGGAGATGTGGCTTTGATTGGAAGTTGAGATAATGAATGCATGGGCTAGTGATTTGTGTTAAAGGCTTGCTATGATGTGTTTCATTCCAACCAAAACCTCTTCACTGACAGAAAAATGACGGAATTCGTCAGAGATGGCATTAAAAGAATCGACACAGATACATTTACAGGATATCTCAAAAGTTGCTCAACCTTTTCAATTTTCTTTGATCAGATCATAGAAAAATTACAAAGGAGCAGAAACTTCGGAATTTGAGCGGAATATTCTATGGCTTGGCATTTCATGCGTTTGGCAACGGTCACTCATTGCATTTGACGTCATCAGCATGTGGACAGATACGAATGTATATTATTATCCGTGACCAAATTACATCTTAAATTAAATGCATAAGAATATTACTATTTCTGAAATATCATTTTCTGATAAAAGCAAAAGAGGTACCAAAGGAAACAATAATTGTTCAGCTGAATTCGACAAGGGTTCGGTCATGATTGCATGAAAAAGTTTCGAGGGGTTCACGGGTCCCACCGGTTATCCAATTTTTGATCAGGCAGGAACTTTCTTGGCTCTCGAGATCTAGTGCTTAAGGGCCACATATTCCTCCTTCATCGAAACGACGACCCATGTTCGCTGATCTCGAGGAGGATAATTTATTCGCTGCAGTTCCACAAGTTTTCACATAAATTGCCTCCTTGACTAAAGAGGAAGTACGAGTACTTATATCCTTATGACTCCATGAAGGTGGCCTAAGATGAGTCTTTCTTGGTTGATTCCCTGTCGGTGTTGATAACGTCCATTTGAGGAGAACTGACGGCGTACGCAATTGTGACTACCGTAATCAATTTTGCATAGCAGACTGGGGGTGACATTCACATTTTGTTACTAGCAACTACAGCTCAATCTTGCCTGTGAGAAAATGCTCTAACCGTTTTCATGGAAGAAGTGAGTCTTTGAGAGTGGAGTAGGCCAAGCGTCCGTTCGTGGTTTAGGCATGGGCTTACTAAATCGGTTTCCCTCTACGAAATGTGCCCCCAGGGCATTTACCTTCAGAGTCGGACTTTTTCTAGTCAGCAGCCCACTCGTAGTCACTCATGTTCCCGCGTTGCAGGAAGTGTGTGAATGCGAGTGACCATGGCCTAAGCGTCAGTCAGTGGATTGGGCATAGGCTCGCTAAATCGTTATGTCGAAGGAAATTGTTCTACCTGTTTCCCCTGCAATAAACTAACCCCCCTGAGGCACGTAATTCGATTTTGGAGTTTAACGCGAATTTAACGTAATGCAGATGTTGTAAGAGTTGTGTTCTTCCCTTTTATGCAAAGAGTTCGGGAAGCGAAACGCCCGATGGCTGAAGAAGCTACTTCTGACGGGTGGTCGCAAGTCTCGACCACTGTTCCTAAGACTTAAATTTCCCAATAAAAAGGTGGTCAGAACGTCTGACCACTCTGACCGAAAGGGTTAAGAATGGCGTAGACCTGAGCGTCTGTCCGAGGGCTAGATATAAGCCTGCTAAATCAGTCTCTCAAATACCTGCATTTATCTCGGACCCTGCCTCGACAACCCCTTCATGCAGATGCATCGCGTCCTCATTCTTCTCGGCAATCTCGATAGGGATCAGGGTTTCTCAAACTTGCATATGTGAAATGTTGACCAACATTTCGCAACAAGCTGACGTTTCTCGCACGGTAATAAATAAATCCATCCTCAGTGACAGTGACCAATGCACACGTTGGCAAAGGGCCATGAACCCATCTCAGCATGCTATACTGGGAGGGAGAAAGTGGTCAGGAGACGGTTGCCTTTTTTACATGGACATGGTGTTTTGATAGAGATCTCTATCTGAGTGTACACCAGTGGTGACTTGTGATACACAGCGGTGATAGCACGTCGATTGAGGCAGGGTAGGCCAGGGCCGGTGTAGGACGCGATTCTGACTACCCCGCAGAAACGACTACCGTAGTGAAAGTTGCGTACGCTGAAACCACTACCATAGTAAAAATGTTGACCGCCGATTCACTACCGTAGTAAAATCCGCGTACGCAGGACCCACTATTGTCACGCGAAAGTGACTTCCGTAAGCTTACGATGTTCGTAATGGGCTGTACGTTCGTTGCACTATCTCCTTTCCAGCCATGCCTCCAGGATCTGGGTAGGAGAGTACCATTTCCCTGAAACCTTGACCTGACCTGTTAGATACTTATCGGTACAGGAATTGAAGCTTAAAAAGACGGGCGTAAAGAGTACAGTTGCACCAGTTCTGTGGTTTCCTCGTAAAGTATACGTTTCTCTGAGGAAATGGCCGATTATAGTTACGAATCGATCGCGACATACCTTCGCCATGGGGAGTACCCCTCATCCATGAAGAACAACCCTGGAGCTAATTCCAACCTAAGACGAAAAGCACTGAGTTTCTGCCTGACTGGTGGAGTTTTGCATAAGAAGGGGAAGGTCAACGGTGAAAGGTGAGTGCTTTTTCCATTGCCGTTGCAAATCTGAAATTGGTTGACGGTTTTCTTGGTGGTCGGTTTTCTTAAGGTGCGTCAGATGTGTGCGCGTTCTCGTGACAATGCTTTCATCCTCAGATGTCATGAAGAGAGTAATGGAAAACATAGAAGAACAAGAAGAGATTCTGAAGGCTTGCGACGGTAGTCACAATTGCGTACGCGAAAAATACTACCATAGTCGGTTTTGACATGAGTCAGATTCGCGTACTACACCGGCAAAGCCATCATCTTCGTCGTAACAGGCCGGAACATTCACGGAGAAGCCTCACAAATCAGGAATAACGTGATTATAGCGTATTTATCGGCTCCCGTCTCGACCGTCGGAAACCCAAGCGCCTACGTGATGGGACGCCGAAATGCCAAAGAGATGCCTTCATCAACAATTGAGGAGTTCTCTGGATAAAGGACGAAAGTGCCCCAATAGCCCTTTCCATGTCCATGCTCAAGCGCTGCTTCGAAGTGCTTGCGATGAGATATCGACCAAAGAGGTGGTCCAAATGTGATTGTGGCAAAGGAAAAACCATATTCTTGACGCTCCGACTAGACCTCAGACAGGTATACGATTATCTCGTCGTCATGTCCGCTTGTATGGAAGAAAGATGGAGTAGGACTGGCCATACAAGCCTATCGAAAGATCCCTGAAAGAAAAAAAAAACGGAGTAAGGGTGGTGCTCATGTGTGCTTGTGCGTGCGTGCGTGCGTGCGTGCGTGCGTGCGTGTGTGTGTGTGTGTGTGTGTGTGTGTGTGTGTGCGTGTGCGTATGTATGGGGGGAGGGGGAAGATCTGGACCGTCATAAAAGCTATTTGAATGCTCCTGTATTTCTCGTCTGTATGAAGGAAGGGTTTTTTTAAAACCTAGAGATTACTTCGAATAAAACTTATCATTCAAGATGAAATTAACGACTGAAAGAATGGCTGGAATTTTTCTGATGGAGTGGACATGGAAAAGGGACCGATGTACATGAAAGGTTTCTGTCTGTTTTCTGGTGAATGCTGGGAATAATACAAGATGCAGACAAAGTCTGGGCAAACCGGAGTGAAAGAAACTAGATTTCAAATTATGAGCTATAACTCATGCACGAACCCGCACCCGCACATACCCACACAAGCATATCTCATCTTTCCTCGGTGCCAAAAAGCCCAGAAATATCCGGAAGCATTCTATGATTGTTTGGATTTTTTTTCCCAGCTCTAGAATTCGAAGGTCATCGTTGTCTTCTCGAAAAGGCATGGGATATCCCTTCCATCGTTGGGAAGAAGAGGGAGCCGTGAAACGACTGCCGATATGGAACAATGAGCAAATGTTATTAAAAGCAAACACGTCGACAAGCTACTGTGAGCGTTAGAAAAGAGAAGAGTAAAAAAAGAGCATGGGAAAGAAATGAAACAACTCGCTGCCCTTTCCCGGGATCAACTTCATCCATCATCGACAAGGACAAGATTATTCCGCACTGAGATACTCACTACGTACAAAGTAAAATGATAGCATGAATCTTTCCATTCGATATAAATGAGTTTAACGAACATGCAACGTTTAGATACGTATGCAAAATGCAATGGTTTCCGTCGAGAGATCAGAATCCCCTGACGTTGATGGAGCCCATCAATGTATCCGCTGCAGACTGGATCATTTGAGCAATGATGGAGACTCCAACCTTCACCTCATTCCAATCGGGATCACTCTCCAGCAGCAAGTCAACCAGATTCCCGAAGACTTCCCCTTTGTAGGAATCAGAACTGCTGGGTCTGTAGATCATGTGACGGTTCCCGCTGGGGAGCATCGTGTTGATGAAGACGCGTTCGACTGCCATCAATTCGTCGTTGAATCGCCTCACTTGGTATGGCTCATCCAAATCCAAGGACTCTCGATGCTCTCCGTGGAAGAATTCCGCAGCCGAGGTCAAATTGTCGATGGCACTCGACCACGAAACCAGTGATACGTTATGCTTCTCCAGCAGATTCCCGAATGTCTTCCAGAAGTCTTGGGATTGTCGACGGAGGAACTTGCCGTAGTCTCTGACATCGAATGGAATCAAGACGGAGTTGGTGTAGAGGTCTGTGAGTTCCACATATACCTGAGTGACAGCCTTCATGTAATGAAAACCTTGATCCAAGAGATAATCGACCAAGTGAAAAGTCTCGTAGAGAGAATGATACATAGGATAGTTCTTCTCTCCCCCTTTGTATGTGATATCGATGGAAGGTATTCCCAAGAAGTGGATGAATGGGGCATAGTCACTCCCGCTGCCCAAGTTCTCCACCAAAGGGAAATCCGAGTTCTCTGATGGGACGTTGTGGAGCCACGTGTCGAAGACGGTCGGTCTTCCATCCTTCACCTCCTCAGGGTTCGGATTTCTTACTTTCCTCGCTGTGGAATAAAGACTTTGAAATGACAGCGGACTTCCTGCGGCCTTCAGCGTCTTATTCCCCGAAATGGAGCCATCCACATTCAGGTTTATGACGGTCCGATCTGCCAACGCATTGGCGTATTCCTCCACCCATTCCGTGGACCCGATGAGACCGTACTCTTCGGCACCCCAGCTGCAAAAGAGCAGAGTCCGTCGAGGTGGATTCCCGGCCTTCGCGGCTTCGCCGTACAGCCGTGCGGCTTCGAGCAGCGATGCCGTGCCGCTCGACGGATCCACGGCCCCGAAGATCCATGCATCTCGGTGGTTCCCCAAAATCACGTAACGATCCGGTTCCACCGATCCGTGGAGCATTCCGATGACGTTGTGTATCGTCTTGACGCTGTTCTCGGTATGAACTTCCATCTTTACTTTCCAATCCGGTCGAACGAAGCCTGGTCCAAGTCGATAAGTGACGTTGAGAGCTCCTTGCCATCGAGACGGAGCTTCGGCTCCGGCAAGATTCTCCAAAAGCTTTTTTGCCTCACGGTACCCGATCGGTTGTGCGGGGATTCTCGGTAGCTCTGCTTCTGATTCTGGAATTCGGTACGTGCCTGGAACACTCGGTCGGAGGGGAGTAATAGGATCTCCATCGGTCCACTTCACCGTTCCACTTTGAACTCCCATATCTGGGAGATATATGCCGTCAGGATAAACAAGGGCGTCTCCGTGGGGTGCGTATTCCATCGGATCAGAATAAAAGATCACGCCGATCGCTCCATATTCCATCGCAAACTTGACGATGTTGGCTCTAAAGGACTTACCGTATCGAGCCAATACGATGTTTCCTTTCACCGAGATTCCTTCTGAGAGAAGGAATTCGAAATCATCCTTTCGTCCGTATCCGACGTAGACGAGATCTCCGATCGGTTGTCCAGGGGCCGAGTAGGCGTTGAAAGTGGGAAATACGCGGTGGTTGCTCTCCTCGGGTGCATATAGGGGTTTTTGATAGCCCAGGGTCGAGAAAACGATATCTCCTGCTTCGTCGAGAACGTAAACTTTGTTCGGCTTTTCTCGATCAGGATGCGAGAGGAGGACGTCGTACGGAACGATCTTCACGGAATCCAAGTGATATTCGAGGAACTTATCACGAACGTATCGAGCCGTGTCGAGTTCTTCTTCCGTTCCCGCCACATGGGGTTCTCGGGTGAGTTGTCGGAGGTGGGTGCGAAGGTTCTCGCTGGAGACTCCATCTGATAAGGGACTCTTTTCGCGGTCGTTCTTTCTGTTCCATTGACCGCTGTACGGGAGGCAGGAGTAGGTCAGGAGGAGCAGGTCGGCAAGGAGCACGATTTGGATCCCGGTGAGAGGCATGACTGATTTCGTAGTGCTTTGGGGGTGCTTCAAATTTTCCTTTATCTTTCACTCTCCCTCGCCTCCGATAAGCTCAAGGAGGGGAAATGTTCTTCAACTGTTAGGTTTTTTTTAATTATGAAATATGGAAGCAATCGATGTACTTGGTTTACACTCTAGCGTGACAAAAAGCGGGATCTAGATAATTAAACTATAATTGAGAAATTTGGTGTTCCTTGCTTTCTATGTGGGAGGTAGAATGGCCAAAAATGAATATAGTGCCTTGCTGCCATAAAGTTTATCACCGATTCTACGATTTCTGGAGTCGTATTCATAGAGAGTACGGAATACGCTTCCACGAATTTTTTTCCTATTGTGACTTTCTTGTTCTGACATGTCTGTCTTTTCCCTCGGCTGAGAGTTTTCTCCTATCGAAACATGCAAATTTCGTACAGTTGAAAATGTATCCTAATCCCGCTTCTCCACGATGCATCGTTTGCCAAAGTATATGACGGCATTCTCCAGCCACGACGGAAGAAACAAACGTGGCGTGGAACATTTCTTGAAAAGCCAATTCCATTCTGGATGGACTGGGCCTTGATGACACGACAATGGACAGATGCCGAAGGTTAGAGCATCCTTGAGCAACCCGGTGTAGGACGCGAAACTTACTACCCCATAGAAAACAAAACCGTAGTGAGTTTCGTGCGCTGAAACCACTAATATCGTAAAAACACGCGTGCGCAGGATTCATTAGTGTCGCACGAAAATGGCTACTGTGAGCTGAGACTGAAAAAATTAAGGTATAGGTTCGAATCACGATCGCTTTTCCAGTCATGCCCTCAAGGTCAGGGTGGAGGATTACCACTTCCTTGAAACCCTGCCCCAAGCTGTCAGATATTTATCGGTACATGAAGTCCTCGATTCACGTCGTCCCGATTAACGTCGTTTTGATATAACGTCGCTAACATATTAGGGAACAAATTTCCATATACGAGGTACTTTGCGTCATTCCAATAAAACGTCGTAAATCTTGGATTTCCTGTATATCATTTAGTTCAAGGGAAAATAGGTTTCGATTTATGTCGCTTTGTTTTACGTTGCGTTTTCTGGGAACACATCCACGACGTAAATCGAGGACTTACTGTACAAGAATTGAAACGCAAAAGGACAGGCGTAAAATGTACACTTGTACCAGATCCATGGTTCTCCTGTGAAGAAAACATCTCTCTGCCTGCAGAGAGATGTCTGACTATAGCTACGAGTCGATCGCGACGTACCTCCGCCATGGGTCCCCCTCGTCCATGAGGAACATGACTATGTGACGCCCGCGGCAGTAACTTGAAGTAATGGCATGAGATGCATGGAGAAGATCCGAGTGTGATGAGGACATTCAAGGACAAAGAGCGAGGTGTCCCCGTGAAAGATAGGGAAGCTACGATGCTGAGCAATTCAACTCTCCAGATAGAAAGTGAGAAGAAACAAAATATAGAGACATCAGCCTCCAATCCGATTGCAAATTGGAAAACAGCAACGACCTCTTGGTAGTCACAAACATAAAATATTCGAATAAGTATTTGTTCATAAAGGAGGCAAGGAATCTATCGTTGTGTATTTTCCACGATGTGATCATGTAATTCAAGACGTAAATCGCGTGGAGATGGGATTACAGTTTCACGGTCAGGATGTCAGATGCAGCATTTCGCAAGTACGCCCCGCAACCCTGTATTCGCCGCCACGAGCAGCCGCTCTCCCCATTGCCTACTATGGATCCGTCATCCACGAAAGCTGGTGGGGAAGTGGAAGTTTTACTTCAAAGAACGAGAGGACTAGACGCTCCGCTCAATATTAAGACAGCTGACTTACCCGAGAGGGGAACGGGGGGGGGGGGGTTGCGACGAGACTGATCAGCCAAGGGCATTGTGAAGTCCCTGGCAATACCCTGAGACTACCTCTCCCTGCGTAAGCACCTGCCATCGATATAGCGGGTGGCTCAAAAAAAAGTTCTGAACTTGATACGGCTGCAGACGGGACATCATGTTAAGCGTAGCCTTGAAATTTTAAGTGTCATACCCAATATAGGTAGGTGGCTTTAGGAAAATTTCAATGAAATTCCTTGCTCTGAACATGAGGAAGAGCTCTTTCCGTACAAGTCGTCAAATGAGCAAGTGTGCCAGTGCGTTTGCTGGCGTGCTGCCGAGGCCCACGATCTATGGAGTTCTCATGGAGTCATCAAGCAGTTATTTCATTGAGTTCAGGCGGGTTCTTTTGCAGTCTCGCTCTTTTGTCATCGCGCAGGAGACAAACTGTTTCGTAGTTTACAACCAATTTCAATGAAATTTTTGTTACATTACCTACAAACATTGCATGTAAAAGTCTGTAAATTTCCTGTCGATAACTCATATGGTACACCGTCTGCAGGCGTGTAAAGTTCGGAACTTTTTTGTGGGCCACCCGGTAGTACGTGTCCACGTAGTCAAGACTGTCCGCTTAGACCAGCGCCGTACCGAGGAGGCTGTGAGAGGTGTGCCGGCACAGGGCGCCAACTTGAGGGCAGTGGCGTAGCGAGGGGGGGCTGGGGGGGGGGGCTGAAGCCCCCCCCCCCCCGCCCCCAGGGGGGGGGGGGGGGGGGGGGGGCTTCAGCCCCCCCCCCCCCAAGTTTGGTTCAAGCCCCCCCAACTCTGGTCAGAATGCGTCCGCCCCACCCCGACGAGGAGAAGTTAGCGTTCCACTTAGCCCCCCCATTAACCCCCTCAATCTTCCGTTTAGCCCCCCATTGACGAAAACCTGGCTACGCCACTGCTTGATGGAGCACCGATTGGTTGCCGAAACATTACAATATATGAATGAAACTTTAAAATTTTCAAAGTAACCTGAATTTAATAAATTAAACATTAATATGTAATGTATCGTTGATGCTGGGAAACTGAAGAGGTATGGGGGGGGGAGCAGGATAGGCACAGGGCGTCAAATATCCTCGGTACGGCTCTGGTTTGGACCCGCTTTTATTGCGTTAAAGAGCAAAATATATTTAGAACTCAGAAACAATATAAAATGCTCTGAACAAGACTTCGGAAGCCTGCTCAATGCAAAAAACACGACTGTGTCCGAATGATTCAACTATTTGAGGGAATTGCTGGTCGCTGCTTTCAACACAGCGCCACTGATGGGAGAGCCAGGAATTGTGATTCAGATGACGATCGACACCCGGTCGTCGTCGTCGTCGTCGAACGAAAGTTTCCGAATTCTTAATATATTTTGCTCCTTGACGCAATAAACGTGGGTCTAAGTCAGCGGTGCGCAATCTTTTCCCCCTAAAGGACAAAATTGAGATTTCGGCTCATGTTCGAGGGGGTTCGAGGGCCTGCGGTCATCGAACATGAGCCGAAATAGGCCACATATAAATATGGATCTTGGGAGACTGGAGGCAACCAAAGGGCCACAAAAAATGTCTCCGCGGCCCGCAGGTCTAAGCGAAAGGTCGTGATTACGTGGACACATACAATTTCGATGGCAGAGGCTTACGCGGTGAAAGGGTGGGCTCAGGGCATTGCCACAGGCTTGGGGCCTGACGATGCCCTCGGCTGATCAGCCTCGCGCAAACCCCCCCCTCCCCTTCCTCCCATAATTCAGCTGTTTTAAAATTAAGCTTTCCCTTCCTATAATCCTGCATTTACCCTTGAGACTCGGGCAAAATTTCTTCACCGGACCATCGATGGTTTTCGTCGGCGCGCATGTAAGCCTTAGTTGGGCCATCACTGGCTTATGGTTGGCTTAAGCAGGCCCATGGTCGGGCATGTCTTGTTGGCCCTTCATCGGGTCAACTTTGGCCCATTGTTGGGAAATCGCACATGCACCAACCATAAGCCGACTTTTCACAATGGTGAAAAGATATAGGAAAAAAAAAACATGAACTGCATTATTCATCTTGGAGAGATAAGAATGAATTTTGCTTCTTCGTCTAGGAGAAATGAACGAGTAGTACCCTACCAGAGTACACTCCAATCACTCTCTTCCACTCATATGGGAATATCCCAAACAACTTCCCTTCCGGATGCTAAGGCATTCATGGAATCACATGGAAATGCAAGAGTATTAATCCTACAGCAGAAGGTTAGGCCCGCCCTACAAATAAGACGTTGCAAAGTCTCCAGACAGAGAAAAATAGATCGCGTAGGTTACCGCGGAAGGTAGAAGGATCCTCCCACGGACCTCCGGGCCGGAATTTCCTGGTTTCTTCCTGGACTAGATTACAACTTCAGAGAAATGTTTCAAGGAATTCAATTGTCTTCCTCTGAGAGCTATGTGAGAAACTATAGGGAACTGCGTCAAAGGGACAGGGGACTCATTCCAGTAGAATCCGAGAAGAGAGTCCCTTCTACGACCACTTTGGCTCCATCTCACGCCGGTTTTCGGAACCTTCTCAGCCACACTTGCAAGTTGGCCGGCCAATCATTCGCCGAAATTAAGCCAATTTCCTCAGCCCGACGATGAACCAGGGAAAATTTTTGACTGGGGAGATGGTCGTGGCAAAGTTGACAGTAATCCTTAAGTGGCTATGTACAGGGTTTTCCATAAGTCCCTTGATCCCCCCTTTTTTTCTTGTTTCAGGTGAATCATGGTTAGGATTTGTGTAGATACGAGTGACCGAGGCCCTTTCACGCTAGAAGTGCGTTTAGTGATGAGTTTTAGGGTGCATTAGCACCAACAAAGTGGAAAAAATTGGAATATCTCAGCAATGGTTGGACAGATTTGCATGAAATTTGAGAAAACGAAAAAATGTAATTTTTAAATACAAATATATCAGATGTCCGACAAATTTGCATAAGTTTGTATCTTATAATAGGTTGGGGTCAGAAAGTTCCAAAGTCATCACTACTGTAGATGAGAAGACGAAATGGTTAGATTAACAATGGTTGTCCAAGCCATTGTTAATCTAACCATTTAACCATTGTTAACCTGCTACTACACAAATGGGGAACTCGTAAGAATTGAACGTGTTCACCACGATTCTTGGATAG